TCCACACCACCCCTACACACCTTCCTCACACACCTCCTCCACCTCCACACCCACCCCACACCTACCCACCACATACCCCACCACCTCCCTCACCCCCATCCCTTCACCCCCTTCACCCCCACCTCCTCACCCCACACACATCCCCACCCACCCCACCTCACCTCCTCCCACCTTCCACACCACACCCCTTCACCCCTTCCCCCACACCCCTCCACACACTTCTCTAACAGACAAAGGCGGATGTGTGTTAGTTGTGTTACCGACTCTTCAGGGGTGAGGGTACATTTTCTGTGAATCTCCATCGTTGTCAGTCAGTCTTTTGGTTCCTCCAGAGAGGGGGAGGTAGAGATGGAAGATGAAGAGTAAGAGGAAGAGGTGAGGTGAAGAGGAATAATATTTCTTCGTGGTTTTATGGTTTTGTTTGTTGAGTCGTTTTTGTCTGAGTGATTTATTTTACCTCATTGATGACTGTTGGAGAGAGAGAGAGAAGTTGGATTTTATCTCTCACTCATTTTACTCTCTCTCTCTCTCTCTCTCTCTCTCATTTTGATTAGGTGGCTAATGGGGAGAAAAATTCATAGTTTCCTCTCTGTCTGTCTGTCTGTCTGCTTTTCTGTCTGTCTGTCTTTTCTATCCTTTTCTGTCTGTCTGTCTTTCTGCTCTTTTCTATCTGTCTGTCTGTCCGTCTGCTTGTCTGTCTGTCTGTCTGTCTGTCTGCTTTTCTGTCTGTCTCTGTCTGTCTGTCCCGTCGCTTCCTGCTTCTGTCTGTCTGCTTCTGCTGTCTGTCTGTCTCCTTGTCTTGTCCTCGTCTGCTTTCTGTCTGTCTGTCTGTCTGTTTGTTGAGCGAGGGGCTGAGGGAGGGCTGGAGGGCTGGAAGAGGGAGGGGCTGGAGGGGCTGGAGGGAAGGGCTGGGGGCTGGAAGAGGGAGGCTGGAGGCTGGAAGGAAGGGCTGGAGGCTGGAAGAGAAGGGGCTGGAGGGGCTGGAAGAGGAAGGGGCTGGAGGCTGGAAGAAGGAAGGGCTGGAGGGCTGGAAGAAGGGGCTGGAGGGCTGGAAGGGAAGGGCTGCATCTTTACTGTCATATGTACACGATTTAAAGCTAATATTCATGGGAGAAATGTTATAATTCTTGGCGATTGACTCTGAAATGCAAACACAAATCAACCACCTGGAGACCCTCCTGGAAGCCTAACTCCAGATCAACCACGCTGGAAGACCCTCACGTGGAAGCCTAACTCCAGATCAACACGCTGGAAGACCCTCCGTGGGCTAACCAGATCAAACACGCTGGAAGACCCTCGCATGCCTACTCCAGTCAACCACGCTGGAAGACCCCACTGGAAGCCTAACTCCAGATCAACCACTGGAAGGCCCTCACATGGAAGCCTAACTCCAGATCAACCGCTGGAAGACCCTCTGCTGGAAGCCTAACTCCAGATCCACCAGGAGACCCTCACATGGACTAACCCAGATCACCACGCTGGAAGACCCTCATGGAAGCCTAACTCCAGATCAACCATGGAAGCCCTCACGGAACCTAACTCCAGATCAACCACGCTGGAAGCCCTCACATGACTAACTCCAGATCAACCACGCTGAAGACCCTCGGAAGCCTAACTCCAGATCAACCACGCTGGAAGACCCTCACATGAAAGCTAACTCCAGATCAACACCAGAAGACCCTCATGGAAGCCTAACTCCAGATCAACCACGCTGGAAGACCCTCACATGGACTAACTCCAGATCAACCGCTGGAAGCCCTCACATGACTAACTCCAGATCAACCGCTGGAAGACCCTCACATGGACCCTAACTCCAGATCAACGCTGGAAGACCCTCACAGAGCCTAACTCCAGATCAACCACGCTGAAGCCTACATGGAAGCCTAACCCAGATCAACCACGCTGAAACCCTCATGGAAGCCTAACTCCAGATCAACCACGCTGGAAACCCTCACATGGAAGCCTAACTCCAGATCAACCACGCTGGAAGACCCTCACATGGAAGCCTAACTCCAGATCAACCACGCTGGAAGACCCTCACATGGAAGCCTAACTCCAGATCAACCACGCAATGAACCAACCAAAGTTCAACTTGCTTTAATTACAACATAATAATATATAAGGTTAATTTTGTACTGATTTCGAGTTGTATTTTTATCACTGCTTTATTTCCTCATTCATCAGTGTTGTAATGACAGCCGTGATAAAATATTGACTTGTAGTTGTTAATGAAGAAAGTTTTACACAGTGTCTACCTCGTGCGGGTCTGTTTTGTTAACACCTCTCGTGACGTAATACTTGTATGCGTTCGAGTTTTATTTTTCGTTTGTAGGTTTTTTTTTTAGAATTCAGTTTTTATGCTGAGAGATGAACTTTTTTTTAAATATATAAATATTTATTTTTTATTTAATATGTGAACAATGTTTAAAAAATAACAATTGTTTCAAGTATTTGGATAATTCTTTTTTATCATTAATAACGAAGACATAATACAAAGAAAATAAATTATTTTTTAATTAACAGATTTATAAGTAAACAAAGTATCATTTTCAGAGAACACAAAGCCTCGAGAGCCTCATTTTGTTCCCTGCGATCATCCGGCCATCTGACACGGCCATCTGACACGGCCATCAAGCACTATTACTCCTTGTCTCTGTTATAAAAGACTAACCCAATAAGACTCACGCCAGGCTAATAAGATGTTTTGACCCTGGAAGTCTTAATTACATGTGCCGTCAGTACTAGCGTTGAGTTTAATTGCTGTGAATTGCCATTGTCCTGTTTGAAGTTGAACGGGAAGAAGGGCAGGGGGGGGGAGGAAGGGAGGGAAGGAGAAAGGAAGGAAGGAGAAAAAAGGAGATGGAGGGAAGGAGGGAGGGAGGAAGGAGGAGAAAGAAGGGGATGGAGGGAAGGAGGGGGGGATGAAGGAAGGGAGGAAGCGGAGGAGAGGAGGGAAGGAGATGGAGAGAAGGGAAGGAGGAGGGATGGGGGGAGGTGATATCTGCTTTAATTTCCTCATTCTACAAGATACATTTACTGCAAGGGGAGGGGAATGGGGGGGTCAGCTGGAGAGGGAGAGAGGGGAGGGGGGCGGTTAGTTTAGTAAGGAGGGTGCTTATAGGGTGTCTCTCTCTCTCTCTCTCTCTCTCTCTCTCTCTCTCTCTCTCTCTCTCTCTCTTTCTCTCACCCACAGGAGGTGTCGAGGTCAGAGACACAGGTCACCCTCTCCCTCACCAGCATGACCTCAGCGGCCTCGGGGGAATACAAGTGTGAGGTGATCGCTGAGCATCCCTCCTTCAGGACCGAGACTCGCTCTGCCTTCATGACCGTGTTAGGTGAGTGTGAGGGAGGGAGGGAGGAGAGGATAAGGGTGATAAAAGGGAGGGAGGGAGGAGAGGATAAGGGAGGGATGGATAAAAGAAGAGTAAACTTACTTAGCTGATCAATCCTCCCTCCTCCCTGTACCTTCTCCCCTCTCCCCTTCCTCCTCCCCTTCTTCCTATACCTCCCTCTTCCCCTGTCTTTCTACCTTCTCCTCCCCTCTCCCCTTCCTTACTCCCCTCCCCTCTCCTCCTCCCCTTCCAGTCGAAACATTGGGGAGACTTCTTTTTCATCTTCCATCCCACAACACAAACCCAGGGAGATATAATTCAATCAGACCATCAATCGGAAACTTCAGTGTGACATAGGGAGGGGGAGGGTAGGGGGGGTAGGGGGTGAAGGGGAGGAGGAGGGGAGGGGAGAGGTAAAGTGGGGGAGGGATTTGGCAAGAGAAGGAGGGAAAGGGGGAGTGTGTGAGGAGGGAAGGACAGAGGGAGTGAGGGGGGGAGACGGAGGGATGGGGGGAGATAAAAGGGGAGAGAGAATGGGGGAGGAGACAGAAAGACAAGAATATTGAAATGGGAAGGAGAAGAAGAAGATTGTGGGGGAGGGTCTCTCTCTCTCTCTCTCTCTCTCTCTCCAATGTCTCTAAGATTAGGATTCTCGCCACGGCACTCACAAATACCCTCTTCTTCTTCTTCTTCTTCTTCTTCTTCTACACCTCCTCCTCCTCCTCCTCCTCCTGGCTGTCAGGACGGAACCATCAAGGTGTGAAAGCTTCGGTAGAATGCCAGGAGAGGATTAACTATGGCTGGCGTTCTGAGTGGCTGACATTCTGAGTAGCTGACGTTCTGAGTGGCTGGTGTTCTGAATGGCTCACGTTCTGGGTGACTGCTGTTCTGGGTGACTGGTGTTCTGAGTGGCTGGCGTTCTGCGAGGCTGGTGTTCTGCGTGGCTGACGTTATAAGTGGCTGGTGTTCTGAATGGCTTGTGTTCTGAGTGGCTGATGAACATTCTAAGTGGCACGTGATCTGTGTGTGTGTGTGTGTGTGTGTGTGTTCGCACACAGGGTGGTGAAATGCGTCTAGTGTGGCAGCATTATGTTAGTGTTATGTCGTAAGCACTGCTTGCTTCCTCTCACTTTCAGCTACCGCCACTGTCTAGCCCTCGTGGCAGACAGGGAAGCATCTTGCATAAGACTTCCCCTGCCAGTATACAGTCTCTTCACCATCAAGACTCCTGCTGTGCCTCCTCGTGGGCTCAGACTAGAGCAGCAGGGGATCTCGGAGTAGCAGTGGGCCCCAGAGGGATGGCACATTGGCCCACTGGCATGTGGACACATCCTGGCGCCTACCAACCACCGCCCCGCTGCCTTGCGGATTAACCTTTGCAGGTATAAAGCTACGGGAGCAAACTCCGAACGAAAAATCTGCAGTGGAGCCCCGCATCTGGCAAACATCCGTACAGAGCTACAACAAGACCCCCAACACCAATGACTACAGCGGCGGACAAAGGCAATACATGATGGACAGGCTACTAAGGCGAAACCCAACAAATTGGGCTATCGGCAGTCCATTGCAACTCTCTCTCTCCCCAGTCATTGCAACACTTGCACCACTGGATCAGGAAAAGGGAGAGCCAAGATGTGTGGCTGCAGCCTGCACTCCTGCCTCACCACATAAATCAACTCACGTGCAGCCATCATCCAGTTCATAATACCTCTCATCATCATCAAAACCCCTATAACCCCAAAAGTTCTTTGGCGACGGATAAGTGGCGACGGGCACAGGCAGAGATGGCTGCCGGGAGTCACTAGAAACAACTCTACACAAGAGCGGCACAGATAAGATGGTTGGTTATGTGGGATCTAGTCAGCAGTGCAATCCGGTCCTGTCTGTGCGACTGAGCAGCCCTTTCGAGGAGCCACTCTGCTCACCCCACATGGGGAGGGGGCTAGAAAAGGTGCCCTAAACATAGCCTGCCTAAAACCCAACCTGACTGGGCAACCACACTCAGTAAGGTCATCCTTATGCAGTCTAAAACACAATCAAAATCAGAAATCCGAAGAAAACAAACTATACAACCTCTTCTGGTCGCTGCATGGAATGTCAGGACCCTTCTGAATACTGGCACAAATGGGCGTCCTGAAAGAAGAACTGCCCTTCTGACAAGAGAGCTGGGTAGGTATAACATTGACATAGCAGCCATTAGTGAGTCCTGGCTCCCTGACGAGGGTCAACTCACAGAAGAGGTTCTGGCTATACCTTCTTCTGGAAGGGTAAGCCTGCTGCGGAGAGAAACCACATTTATGGCGTTGGCTTTGCCACCCGCCAACGCATCCTACACAGGTTAACTGAAATGCCTGTTGGGATCAACGAGCGCCACATGACGCCCCGAATCCCACTGAATCACTCACGTCATACCTTCTTCATCAGTGCATACACCCCAACACTGGATGCAGAAGACGATATCAATGAGGCCTTTTACGCCGACCTCGACAGAATGCTAACCTCTATCCCCAGAGAAGACAAAGTTGTGCTCCTTGGTGACTTCAATGCGAGAGTTGGCAAAGATGCTGACATTTGGCAGGGAACCATAAGGAGAAATGGACTTGGCAAGTGTAATCCCAACGGCTTACTTCTCCTCAGCAAGTGTGCTGCACACAACCTCACTATCACCAATACCTTGTTTAGGCAGGCCGACAAGTTCAAGGGTTCGTGGCAACACCCACGATCCAAACACTGGCATCTCATTGACTACATCATTGTCAGAGAAAAAGATCGCCGAGATGTCCTCATCACCCGTGCCATGTGTGGCTCAGACCACTGTGACACTGGTCATAGGCTTGTTAGAGCCAAGCTTTCACTTCACGTCGTCCCAAAACGGCGAGGCAGCGAGCCTCAGAAGAGGTTTTAACAATTAAACATCTGGAGGATCCAGCAGTAGCACATGCTTTCAGAGACCAGGTCGAACATGGGCTGATAAACAACCTGACAACAAACAACGTGAATCCCAGTGCCGAATGGGATACTCTTAATACTGTTATGACAAAAACCTGCAGAGACCCTCGGCCAGATCAAAAGATTACACCAGGACTGGTTTGATGAAAATGACCCGGCAATCAAAGTACTCATCGATGATAAACGTGCTGCTTTTACTGACTGGCAGAACAACCCTCAGTCTCATACCAAAACTGATACCTTCCACAAGAAGAAAGCGGCAGCCCAGCACGAACTTCGCAATCTAAGGAACGACTGGTTTAAAAATAGAGCATGTGAAACACAAAAATTTGCAAATCAGCACAAAATGCGTGAACTTTTCAATTCCACTAAAAAAAATTATGGGCCAATCACCTGTGGCGCAGCCCTCCCCCGCTCATCTGATGGTAACTCCCTCATTAAAGACGATGAAGGTTTCCTTCAGCACTGGAAAGAGCACCACCCTTCACTGCTCAATCGAAACACCAATGTGGATGTCCTGACTACCCAGCAGGTCCCTCAGCATCCAGAGCTGACCCACCTCAGCTATCCTCCATCCATGGATGAGGTAGCAGGAACAAAGGTGTCAGCAGCTTCCATTACTAAGCTTCAGTATGCAGACGACCTCACCCTTGTTGCTCACACTGAACGCAACCTACAGGAGATCCTTTACATCTATGCAAGATGCATATGCACACTTCGGCCTTGAGGTGAATGAACGTAAGACTCAGATTCTCTTTCAGCTTGCCCCTGGTTCAGACACACCTCCACCATCCATCCAGCTTAACAGTACTGCCCCCTTTAATGTTACCCACTTTCGGTATCTCGGCTCCCACCTGTCCACCACCACGGACAACGATGAAGACATTCAGCATCGGATTAGATGTGCATCTGAAGCCTTTGGCAGACTCCATACCCGTGACTTCAGCTGTAAGGAGCTGAAAATAGCTGCAAAATTACACGAATATCGAGCAGTGGTCCTCCCCACCCTGCTATATGGCAGCGAGACATGGGTCACATAAAGGGGGCACAGACTGCTCGTGTTTACGTGGCCGGGTACCAGTGTCAAGCTAACGTGAAGTTTTTGTATTCTTGTGATTTGAAGATTGCATTGTTATAAACGGCGTCAACGTGGCCACGTCGCACGTTTATTGGTTAAATTACATGACGTCATTCTTTTGGAAACAACAAATGGAGTTTATTGTTTAAGTCAATCGTGACGTCATTATCCTTTCTGGAAATGATAAGCGCATTTATTGGTTACGTTTACGTGACGTCATTATCCTTTTTGAAAACGACAAGGGCGTTTATTGGTTGAATTTACGTGACCTCATCTTCCTTTCCGCGGAAGATAGAGTACGTTCATTGGTTGAATTTATGCGACGTCATTATCTGTTTGCCTTCAAGATATCTTACATTATCGTTATCTCTCTATCTTAATTTACAAACAGTTATCGATACATTCAATATACTAACTAACCACTACTAAGAGAGAATATTAACCTTACGAACCTTTTAGAATCCAGATGGGGAACCTGGCCAAGTTTATTAGCATCAAAAGTTAAGTCAGGGAAGATAACTTGTTGTGGACTGAGAAGCAGCCACAAACCCAACCATCCCGGGCTTCTTGTGATGGTCATATTACTGAGCGATGAAGCCCCGCTTGTGTGGTGTTTACAGTGTGTGAAATGAATCATACGTATTATCATTCACGTGAGTTGGGGGATAATTTGTTCCAATCATTGTGTGTTTTACGTGAGGTTTGGTGGGGTTAGGTTAGGTAAGGATCACGCACACCACAACAGTTTACAATTACCTCTCTTCCTCCTCCCGCTCCTCTTGATAACTCTCTCTTCCTCCTCCCGCTTCTCTTAATAACTCTCTCTTCCTCCTCCCTCTCCTCTTAGTGACTCTCTCTTCCTCCTCCCTCTCCTCTTAGTGACTCTCTCTTCCTCCTCCCTCTCCTCTTAATGACTCTCCCTTCCTCCCGCTCCTCTTAATAACTCTCTCTTCCTCCCTCTCCTCTTAATAACTCTCCCTTCCTCCCTCTTCTCTTTCCCCTCACGTTCAGGCAGGAGGCTTTGTTAACATTACCAGTAGCCTAAATAGCACTTCACCTAATATGGAATTCTCTGGATCACCTGAACATTTTAGATATTTTCTAACCTAACCTAACCTAACTTGATGCTAACGTAACGTAACGTAACGTAACGTAACTTAACGTAACCTAACCTGATGCTAACCTAACCTAACTTGATGCTAACGTAACGTAACGTAACGTAACGTAACTTAACGTAACTTAACCTGATGCTAACCTAACCTAACTTGATGCTAACGTAACGTAACGTAACGTAACTTAACGTAACCTAACCTAACCTGATGCTAACCTAACCTAACTTGATGCTAACGTAACGTAACGTAACGTAACCTGACGCTAACGTAACCTAACCTGATGCTAACCTAACCTAACTTGATGCTAACGTAACGTAACGTAACGTAACCTGACGCTAACGTAACCTAACCTAATGCTAACCTAACTAAACCATGGCATTATTATTGTTATTGTTTTTAGTGTAGTAATTATTATTATTATTATTATTATTATTATTATTATTATTATTATTATTATTATTGTTATTGTTGTTGTTGTTGTTGTTTACACAGCCAAACTTACACCTCGGTTCTCCCCCAGACGAGCCGCTAGAGCCACCTGTAATCATGGGGGCGAGGGAGGTGTACCAGGTTCACGATCACCTCACCCTCACCTGCCTCCCGCACCAGCTGCCGCCCTCAGCACCCTCACCTGCCCTCACCTGGTACCTGCAGGGCCGCCAGGTGCGTACTCATCAGGTGACAATGTTAAGACCAGTGAAAAGTATATGGCGTATTTTGACACCAATTTGACACTTCTCTTAGACACGCATTTAAGACCCATGACACGCATCCGACACCCTAACACGCATCCGACACCCTAACACGCATCACCTACATCCGACACTAACATAAACACCTAACACGCATCCGACACCCTAACACGCATCCGACACCTAACACGCATCCGACACCCTAACGCATCCGACACCTAACACGCATCCGACACTAACACGCATCCGACACCCTAGCACGCATCCGACACTAACACGCATCCGACACCCTGGCACGCATCCGACACTAACACATCCGACACCTAATCCGACACTAACACGCATCGACCCTAACGCATCCGACACCCTAACACGCATCCGACACTAACACGCATCCGACACCTAACACGCATCCGACACTAACGCATCCGACACCCTAACACGCATCCGACACCCTAACGCATCCGACACCTGGGCACGCATCCGACACCCTAACACGCATCCGACACCCTAACACGCATCCACAACCTAACGCATCCGCCCTAACACGCATCGACACCTACACGCATCCGACACTAACACGCATCCGACACTTCCAACACGCATCCGACACCCTAACACGCATCTGACACCTAAACGCATCCGACCCCTTACGTGACACCTAACACCCTAACACGCATCCGACACCTCACGCATCCGACTAACGCATCGACACTAACATCGACACCCTAACACCCACGCCTAACACGCATCCGACACCCTAACGCATCGACCGCATCCGACACCTAACGCATCTGACACCCTAAGCGCATCCGACACCCTAACACGCATCCGACACCCTCACGCATCCGACCCTAACACGCATCCGACACCTAACATCGACACCCTAACGCATCGACCCTAGGCACGCATCCGACACCCTAACACGCATCACACACTAACACGCATCGACACCCTAACACGCATCCGACACCTAACACGCATCCGACACACCTAACGCATCTGACACTAGGCACGCATCCGACACCCTAACACGCATCCGACACTAACACGCATCCGACACCTAACACGCATCCGACACCCTAACACGCATCACACCCTAACACGCATCCGACACTAACATAAACACTAACCGACACCCTAACGCATCGACACCCTAGGCACGCACCGGCCCTAGGGCATCACATCCCGACGACCTCACTATTAACTCAGGCATGTTAAGTGTGAGCAGGGACATCACCTCTTAGGGACCTTTATTACATGAGGATCGATGAAGACAGTCCCTCAGGTGATGAAACACTCCTCAACAGGTCAGTATACACACACATACCAGAACACACCCACACACACACACACAGACAGACACAGACATACACACACACATACACAACATCCAAGTATACTATACATATCAAGGGTATACAAACACATACTCAGATAATATATATATAGAGGTATGATTATGTCAATTGCTGATGTTGCAAGCTGAATAAACACGGATCCAAATACGTAAATACCAACCTAACCTAACCTAACCCAACCTAACCTTCAACCTAATCCAACCCAACCTCAACCTCTTAACCTAACCTAACCCCTATAACCTAACTTACCTAACTTAACAACTTCTCCAAATAGATGCGGTTCCTCCTTATATTTATCATTACTAATCTAATTAGTATCTTCCTCTCCCTCCCCCACCCTGCTCCCCTCCCCCCTCCCACACCCCGCTCCCCCTTAACCACTACCCTCTTCCCTTTCTCTATCCTACCCTCCCTCATCCTACTTCCATACCCCTCCCTCTCCCTTCCTCACCCACTATCGTCCTTCCCCCACACACGATTCCACCTCTACCTCTCCCCGTCACAACTCCACCCTACTCTCCCCCGTCACAACTCCACTACCCCTCCCCCGTCCAACTCCACCCCTACCCCTTCCCCGTCACGCAACTCCACCCCTATCCTTCTCCTTACTACCCAACCTCCTTCCCCTTACCCTACATCACAGGGAGGAGTACGTGTCCCCCTTCAGAGACGCCGCCCGATCATTCTCCTGGCCTCACCCGCCTCCCCTGGAGCCAGGTAGCTACTCCCTTCTGCACCCACCTCCTGTCCTTCTGCATGTCCACCTCTGCACCCATATGCACATACTCCTGCACCTATGCTCCTGCACGCCCATACTCCTACGCCCATACTCCTGCCCCATACTCCTGCATGTCCCTCCTGCACATACTCCCTAAACATATACTCCTGCACGCCCATACTCACGCCCTTGCTCCTGCGCCCCTCCTCCTGCACCCATACTCCTGCACGCCCTTGCTCCTGCACGCCCATACTCCCCTTCACCCATACTCCTGCACCCTTGCTCCTGCACATACTCCTGCATGTCCACACTCCTGCACCCCCCTCCCAACGCCCCTCCTCCTGCACGCCCTTGCTCCTGCACATACTCCTACGCCCATACTCCTGCATGTCCATACTCTAAACGCCCATACTCCTGCACGCCCTTGCTCCTGCACGCCCATACTCCTGCACGCCCTTGCTCCCTGCACGCCCATACTCCTGCACGCCTATACTCCTGCATGTCCCACCTCCTGCCATACTCCCTAACTGCCCTACTCCCACACCCTTGCTCCTGCACAGCCATCCTCCTACACGCCCATACTCCCTGCATGTCCCCTCCTGCACACCCCTTGCTCCTGCACACACCCTCCCTACACCCTTATACTCCTGCACGCCCTCCTCCTGCACCCTTCTCCTGCACGCCCTTTGCCACGCCCACTCTCCTGCACGCCCATACTCCTGCACCCATACTCCTGCACCCATACTCCTGCCCACTCTCCTGCACTGCTCCTGCACACCCATACTCCTGCACGCCCTTGCTCCTGCACCACTCCTGCACGCCCTTGCTCCTGCACGCCCATACTCCTGCACCCATACTCCTGCACCCTACTCTACTCCTGCAACCTCCTCCAAGCACTTTCAAGCCCACACTCCTGCATGCGTGTATCAGTAGTAGTAATAGTACAGTTAACAATAATAATAGTACAGTAATAGTAGTAGTAGTAGTAGTAGTTTTAGGTCTTTATTGACGCCCCGACATAGTGACGGCAGTACTATACACACAGACCAGCCGGCCGTCACACTGAAACACACAGACTCTCACCTCGTAAGGCAGCGGCGCCCCAAGTTATCTGCTGGTGGTGTACAGAATGAGACAGTGGACCTTACACCTCATAGAGTGCGCTAAGACGAGAGAGTGAAGTGGTGGTTCTCTATAGGAGGAGGAGGAGCACCAATAACCACTGTCGTAATACATTTCACCAAACTATAAAACTACCAAAATAATGACGTAAAAATATATAAACTGTGGAAAAATTTCTTATTGTGGTCAAGTTGAGGAAAATCTAAAAAAGGAAAATGTGGAAGAAACGTGACTTTCCTCGGGTGTGAAACTGATTTTTACGTCGAAGTGGGGAGTTGTGGCTCACTGTCGATACCAGGGTCCGTTGAGCCACGGTGGTAACAACGTCAGAAAATGGTGATAATAAATAGTGATTGATGGTGATAATATGGATAAAGGTTGATAAGAATTATAAAACTACTGTGTGTGTGTGTGTGTGTGTGTGTGTGTGTGTGTTGTTTCTACTTGTTTTTTTAGTTCTTTTCTGACACTTTCTGCGTTTGTGTTATATAACTGTTATTATTATTATTATTATTATTATTATTATTATTATTATTATTATTATTATTATCACAATTCCATACTCGTCATTACTACAAATCCCCAACCCACACCTGTCCTAATGATCCAATTCCCAGAAAACAGCAATTGATTCACGTATCTCAAGACAGGTAAGTTACAATTAAACACCTCACCTCACCTCACCTCACCCCTCACGAATTCTGGAGAGGTGTTGGAGGGTATAATCGCTTTACATGTGATTTTTCTCACCAACTTCTCCACCAACTTCTCCACGTGTCTTTTACTTCACTATTTATTTATATTTTTTACCGTGACAAAATCCTCGGTGGCGACTCTAATTTAACTTTGTTGGTAATGGAAAAGATGTGTTTTAGGGTTAAAGGATCAAGGAGCGTGTGTGTGTGTGTGTGTGTGTGTGTGTGTGTGTGTGTGTGTGTGTGTGTGTGTGTGTGTGTGCGTGTGTGTGTGTGTGTGTGTGTGTGTGGAGATGTTACCGATGTCTCCACCTCTTCTCTTACCTCTCACCTCCTTCTCTCCTCACACTCCCTCTTCTTTCCATCCCCCTCACAGGTCACACGGGTGGGGGTGGTGGCAGAAACGTCGTGTGTGGTTGAAGTGGGCGGTCAAGAATTGCGGTCCACTACCAAGCTGCGGGTGCGGCCAAGAACCTCCTCCTCCTACCTCTCCAGCTATTTCTCTGCCGCAGGTAAACAAATCAAGCAACTTATTTTTAGGGGGGTGGGGAGGGGATGAATCTGTTTTCTGTACAGTTTAAGCAAGTAAATACGGATTTTTTTTTTACGAATTTACATTATAAGTTTTGCCATTATTACGAGCTGTTAGGTGTGATGAGTGTGTTTACTGCACAGCTCAAGCAGGGAATGGAATCCAATCCTCTATCTAGTATTCTAAACCCACTGATGACAATAATAAGTACTCGAATACAGAAACAAAAGCAACATACCACCTTCATTTGTTTCTTAACGTTACATATAGGTCAAATGTTATTTCATTTATATATTATGTTTATTATTTACTTCTCTACGTCTTTGTTTACAAGTTTTTTGGGTGTTAGATGGTGGTGATGATGATGATGATGATGATGATGTGTGTGTGTAATATTATGGCTCGTCTACTGATGTCTGGACACTATCCTCCCACACACACACACACACACACACACACACACACACACACTATCCCTACCATGATCCGGGTCCAGCAAGGTTCCGTGTTTACAGGAAAAACCACAATATTTATCAGACAGAGAGTTCCTGCTAGCGGAGGTGAGTTTGTCGGTTCTGAAGAGTAGTGGTGGCCGTCCTCAGCTTACCCACCCTGCCCGGCTCCCTCCACCTGCCTGATACCGAGGATACACGAGGAAGAATAAGGATTTGAGAGAGATGAAGATGAATGCGAGGGAGATGAGAGGTAGATGGCAGAGAGAGATGAGAGATGAAGATAGATGGCGAGAGGAGAGAGATGAGAGATAGAATGGCGAGAGAAAGAGATGGAGATGTAGATGGCGAGCGGAGAGATGAGGAGGTAGATGCGAGGAGGATGAGAGGTAGATGGCGAGGCGGAGGATGAGGTGGATGGCGGAGAGGATGGGGGTGAATGGCGAGGCGGAGGATGAGAGGTGGATGGCGGGAGATGGGGGTAGATGGCGAGGCGGAGAGGATGAGGATATATGGCGAGAGGATGGGGAGGTAGATGGCGAGGCGGAGATGAGGGTAGATGGCGAGAGAGATGGGGAGGTAGATGGCAAGAGCGGAGAGATGAGAGATAGATGGCCGAGAGGATGGGGATGGGGAGATTGAATGTGAGATGGGGATAGATGGCAGAGGAGGGGGTGAATGTAGGCGGAGATGGGGGGGGGGGAGAGAGAGGGGGGAGGTAGATGAAGGAGGATGGAGGTGAATGGCGAGGAGAGGTGAATGTGAGGCGGAGAGGATGAGATTGAATGGCCGAGGAGAGAGAGATGAGAGGTGGATGGCGAGAGAGATGAGATGAATGGGGAGAGATGAGATGGAATGGCAGGAGGATGGGAGGTAGATGGCGGAGCGGAGAGAGAGAGATAGATGGCGGAGGATGAGAGATGGAGGTAGATGGCGGGAGATGAGATAGATGGCAGGGGAGGGTGAATGTAAGAGCAGGAGATGAGATGGATGGCGAGGAGGAGTGGGGGTGGATGGCAGGAGGAGGAGAGGGGTAGATGGCAGGCGGAGAGGATGAGAGGTAGAATGCGAGGAGATGGGAGAATTAGATGGCGAGAGGAGAGGAGGAGGGATGAGAGGAGGAGGAGGGTAGATGGCGGAGGAGAGAGATGAGAGGTGAATGTGAGGAGAGAAGAGGGCAGGGGTGATGAGGATGAGGATGGGAGGTAGATGTGGGAGGATGGAGATAGATAACGAGGAGGGTAGATGGCGAGGAGCGGAGGATGAGGAGGTAGATGGCGAGGAGGAAGGATGGGGTAGATGGCGGAGGATGGAGATAGATGCGGGAGGAGAGGGTAGATGGCGAGGGCGGGAGAGGATGGAGGTGGTGTGGCGAGGAGGGAGATGAGAGGTAGATGAGGTGGAGGATGAAATATGGGGAGATAGATGGGCGAGAGAGAGTATATATATAGCGAGAGAGAGAGAGAGACGAGAGATAGATCGCGAAAGAGAGAGAGAGAGAGAGAGAGAGCATATATCAGAAAAATACTTATATTGATAATTCGAATAAAATCCAAATATTCAAGATTTTAGGTCAGATTCAGGTCAGGTTAGGTTAGGTTAGGTCAGGTCAGGTCAGGTCAGGTTAGGTTAGGTTAGGTTAATTACCCAAATTCCGATTTTTTTTATATCTCAGATCTTTATTTTGATAATTTTTACAGTGACACCTCCATTTAACGGACTATATGGAGAGAGAAGTCCGTAATAAGAAGGTTTCACTCCAACACATTTTTAGTAATTTAGACCAAGACATGTGTCTCTCCCGTGTGGCTCAACTGGTCATGTCTCTCTGTGCTATCTCAGCTTTATCTCTCTCCTGTGTATCTCAGCTTTATCTCTCCGTGTGTTCTAGCTTATCCCTCCTGTGTGTCTCAGCTTTATCTCTCCGTGTATCTCAGCTTTCTCTCTCCCGTGTGTCTCAGCTTTATCTCTCTCCGTGTCTCAGCTTATCTCTCCTGTGTGTCTCAGCTTTATCTCTCCCGTGTGTCTCAGCTTTATCTCTCCCGTGTATCTCAGCTTTATCTCTCCTGTGTGTCTCAGCTTTATCTCTCTCCTGTGTATCTCAGCTTTATCTCCTGTGTGTCTCAGCTTTATCTTCCCGTGTGTTCAGCTTATCTTCCCGTGTATCTCAGCTTTTATCTCTCCTGTGTATCTCAGCTTTATCTCTCCTGTGTGTCTCAGCTTTATCTCTCCCGTGTATCTCAGCTTATCTCTCCTGTATCTCAGCTTTATCTCTCCTGTGTCTCAGCTTTATCTCTCCTGTGTCTCAGCTTTATTCTCCTGTGTCTCTCAGCTTTATCTCTCCCGTGTGTCTCAGCTTTATCTCTCCCGTGTGTCTCAGCTTTATCTCCTGTGTATCTCAGCTTTATCTCTCCCGTGTGTCTCAGCTTTATCTCTCCTGTGTGTCTCAGCTTTATCTCTCTCCCGTGTGTCTCAGCTTTATATCTCCTGTGTGTCTCAGCTTTATCTCTCTCCCGTGTGTCTCAGCTTTATCTCTCCCGTGTGTCTCAGCTTTATCTCTCCCGTGTGTCTCAGCTTATCTCTCCTGTGTCTCAGCTTATCTCCCGTGTGTCTCAGCTTTATCTCCTGTGTATCTCAGCTCTTTATCTCTCCCGTGTGTCTCAGCTTTATCTCTCCCGTGTATCTCAGCTTTATCTCTCCGTGTGTCTCAGCTATCTCTCCTGTGTCTCAGCTTTATCTCTCCGTGTGTCTCAGCTTATCTCTGTGTATCTCAGCTTTATCTCTCCGTGTGTCTCAGCTATCTCTCCCGTGTGTCTCAGCTTTATCTCTCCGTGTGTCTCAGCTATCTCCGTGTGTCTCAGCTTTATCTCTCCGTGTGTCTCAGCTTTATCTCTCTCCGTGTGTCTCAGCTTTATCTCTCCCGTGTGTCTCAGCTTTATCTCTCCTGTGTATCTCAGCTTATCTCTCCGTGTGTCTCAGCTTTATCTCCGTGTGTTCTCAGCTTTATCTCTCCCGTGTATTCAGCTTTATTCTCCCGTGTCTCAGCTTTATTCTCCTGTATCTCAGCTATCTCTCCGTGTATCTCAGCTTTATCTCTCCCGTGTGTCTCAGCTTTATCTCTCCCGTGTATCTCAGCTTTATCTCTCTCCGTGTATCTCAGCTTTATCTCTCCTGTGTGTCTCAGCTTTATCTCTCCTGTGTCTCAGCTTATCTCCTGTGTATCTCGGCTTTATCTCTCCCGTATCTCAGCTTTATCTCTGTGTGTCTCAGCTTTATCTCTCCTGTGTCTCAGCTTATTCTCCCCGTGTGTCTCAGCTACTCCCTGTGTTCTCAGCTTATCTCTGTGTTATCTCAGCTTTATCTCTCCTGTATCTCAGCTTTATCTCTCCCGTGTATCTCAGCTTTATCTCTCCCGTGTGTCTCAGCTTTATCTCTCTCCCGTGTCTCAGCTTTATCTCTCCCGTGTGTCTCAGCTTTATCTCTCCTGTTCTCAGCTTTATCTCCTTATCTCAGCTTTATCTCCTGTGTATCTCAGCTCTTTATCTCTCCCGTGTGTCTCAGCTTTATCTCTCCCGTGTATCTCAGCTTATCTCTCCGTGTATCTCAGCTTTATCTCTCCCGTATCTCAGCTTTACTCTCCTCCGTGTATCTCAGCTTTATCTCTCCCTGAGTATCTCAGCTTTATCTTCCCGTGTGTCTCAGCTTTATCTCTCCCGTGTATCTCAGCTTTATTCTCCCGTATCTCAGCTTTATCTTCCCGTGTGTCTCGGCTTTATCTCTCCCGTGTATCTCGGCTTTATCTCTCCCCGTGTGTTCAGCTTTATCTCTCCCGTGTATCTCAGCTTTATCTCTCTCCCGTGTGTCTCAGCTTTATCTCTCCTGTGTATCTCAGCTTTATCTCTCCTGTGTCTCAGCTTTATCTCTCCCGTGTATCTCAGCTTTATCTCTCCTGTATCTCAGCTTTATCTCTCCGTGTATCTCAGCTTTATCTCTCCCGTGTGTCTCAGCTTTATCTCTCCTGTGTATCTCAGCTTTATCTCTCCCGTGTATCTCAGCTTTATCTCTCCCGTGTATCTCAGCTTTATCTCTCCCGTGTGTCTCGGCTTTATCTCTCCCGTGTATCTCGGCTTTATCTCTCCCGTGTATCTCAGCTTTATCTCTCCCGTGTGTCTCGGCTTTATCTCTCCCGTGTATCTCGGCTTTATCTCTCCCGTGTCTCAGCTTTATCTCTCCCGTGTGTCTCAGCTTTATCTCTCCCGTGTGTCTCAGCTGTGTTTACATCTCAGTTTTATAAGGTGTTTATATCACGGTCATGGCGACAATGAGACCCGTAAAAAAAATATTGTCTGTCTGCTTGTTTTGTCTGTCTACGTCACTGTTTATTTGTCTGTTAAGCTCTCTGTCTTTCTGTGTCTGTCTGTCTATTTGTCTACATCTGTCTATCTGATTGTCTACCTTCGTCTGCATATTTACATCTCTGTCTGTTTCTGTTTATTTAGTTCTTCAGCAGCCTGTCTGTTTCACTGTGTACCTGTCTACATCTCTGTCTATCTGATTGTCAACCTTTATCTGCCTATCTACCTGTCTAAATTTGTTTTGTCTGTCTACTCTGTATGCCTGTCTGTTTGTCTATTAAGCTGTCTTTCCTGTATGTCAGTCAGTCTGTCTATCTGTTTATATGTTTCTTCAGCTGTCTGACTGTCTACCTGTTTACATCTGTCTGTCTGATTCATTACCTTTGTCTACCTACCTGTCGATCTTTCCCTATCTGTCTACCTCTCTACATGTATACATATGAGACGGCGTCATCCAGTACTGACTCACGTAATATACTCTACAAATCTTAAGTATAAACTCTCCGATAGCCTATGATAGCCTACGATAGCCTGCGGTAGCCTACAATAGCCTTAGTCTCTACCTCTTATAACTAAAGCTAATACCCTATAAAATCTTTACTGTACAGTAAAATGTCTCTTTAACGGACTAAATGGAGAGGAAAGTCCGTTATATCCAGGGTCCGTTAGATATGAAACCTCCATCAAACGAACTATAGAGATGAAAGTCGGTTATATCGAGGGTCTGTTAAATACCTCCATCTAACGGATTATATGAAGAGAGAAGTCCGTTATATGGAGGTTTCACTGTATATCGCTCAATATGTCCGCTTTGTCTAAGATTAATTTTCACGTATCTGTTTATTTTGTTAATCTTTGATATAACCTGGAGTTAATATTTTCTCTCCTCCCACAGGTATGATCAGTCGTCCCACCACCCAACTCATGATCCTCAGCGCCCTCCTACTGCTGCGGTAGGGCGCCTGACGTGGAGTAGAACTGGAATAAACAGCCGCAGGAGAGACAGCCGCAAGAGACAGCGGTAGGAGAGACAGCCGCAAGAGACAGCCGTTGGAGAAACAGAAGCCATGATAGGACAAGCAATACAGCCGCAGGAGAGACAGGAGCCGTGATAGGATAAGCAATACAGCCGCAGGAGAGACAGGAGCCGTGATAGGATAAGCAATACAGCCGCAGGAGAGACAGGAGCCGTGATAGGACAAGCAATACAGACGCAGGAGAGACAGAAGCCTCTATCTGCCTGTTACACCAATTGTGAAGATTGGTGGCAGTGGTGGCATTCTACCTTCACAGGCGTCATCAGAAAACAACCACACTAACCACAAGCACACCATCCACAACCACACCAACCACAACCACAGCATCCACAACCACACCAACCACAACCACAGCATCCACAACCACACCAATCGCACCCACAGCATCCTCAACCACACCAACAACCACCACAAGGACACCACACCATCAGAGCAAAAAAGGGTAAGTATCTACAAGAAGAAGCTGGTCTTCCACTCTCTTCCTGACAGCCGCCGCAACACCACAGACGAGGAACTAATACCCAGCACCATAAAGGAACTCTCTTCTTGTCAATAAACGCTTCTTCTGTGTGTGTGTGTAGTGAAGCTTACCGCCACGATCCATCTGATACCTCGTGCTAGCGATGTGTAAGGACAGACCGAAGTTACCCTAGCCACCTTCCTGACCTTTCAGAAGAAACTACGTATTCACAGCTGATAAAATTGTTTCTAATTGTTTCTTTAGTCTACAGAAGAAGCTAGCTTTTTTTTTTTTTTTTTGTAGCCGCTGTTAAATCTGTTCTTGATGACTTCCACCGCTGGGATCACTCACAGAAGGAAGGGGATCTCTGTAGCCTGTGACTTGTGGCAGAAGAGCGTGATCAAAGTCCTCGGATTCAGGAACTTACACACACACACACGTAAATAGAAGTCATTCTTTCTTCTTTATGCTTACTATTCTATTCCATTACTTCTATTATTTCTTCATCTTGCTTTTCTTGACCTTCAACTCTCTCTTGTCTTATTTCTTCTTCATTTCTTCCATCTTGGTTCCTGTTATTCGTCTGTTCTTCTCAGTGAACGCAATAAACAGTAAACACAATAAAACCTGATAACTGTGTGAGATTCTGAAACAAAATGATAAAGAGAAAGGAAAAATAATCTCTTATTCCTAAATGTGTGATAATAATATAAATAATTCTGTTTATATATCAATGGAAACAAAATCAGGCGTCTTTACTAAGCGCAAGTGAGCGACGTCTTAGATCAAGTTGTATAATAGAAATTGTTGTTATAATTAAGAGATATTTGTTGTTGTAAATAAGAGTACTGGTGGATATGCTGTACGTATATAAAACACTACCAGGAATGTTTATAAGCCAAAGAAACTGTCTCAAATAAGAAATCGTAGACACTTGAAGCTATGGTCTCAAATATGGCATAGCATCCTAGTACGATCTCTGTACTGTGTAAAATCTGTATCATAATAGTACGTAATTATGTGAGATATTTATGTATGAATATTTTATGATCAATTTTATAAGTTTCTGACTACGTTTGACTATTGTACCCAGTTGGAGATGTCCTAGAGTGGTTAAAATATGAGGGAGTGTTCGCGGGCATTCTCAAATCAACCTCATCTCATTTTGTTCGTATATATATATATATCTGTAAAGTGACTCAAAATTTATAGATAAAACCTCCTTTTATTTTATATTTAGAAATGTTAATTATTAAGGACACAGAGTTCGTAAATAAACAGTTAAAAATATAATTAAAGAATTTCATTTCATCACAACGGCATAAAAAAACAAGAATCCATGTTTCCAATAATATCAACATGACAACAGAGAATCTATAGTGTTTACTCAATTACAACCAAAATACTTAAAAAACTCTGTAATACTTTTGGTAGTACAACAACTATTATACGGGTACGAAAACAATCCATTTACTAAGATTTAACTAATTCATAACAAATACAATTTATAGAGTAATTATATAATATGCCTAACGATATTAAAGAGGATAGCTCATATACAAAGCCACAACCACAACACCACCACTACAACACCACCATTAATACAACACCACCACACCACAACACCACCACTACAACACCACCACACCACAACACCACCACCAAAACAACAACACAACACCACTAATACATCACCACCACCACCACCACAACAACAAAACAACACCACTAATACAACACCACAACACAACTACTGCAACACCACACTAAAACACCACAGCACCACACTACAACACCACAATACCACCACTACAACACCACAACACCACACTACAACACCACTACTAGAACACCACAACACCACACTACAACACCACCATAGCACTCACTGTTACAACACCATAACACCGCTACTACAACACCACTACAACATCACACCACCACACCACTACAGCACCACTACAACACCAACACAACACCGTCACAACACCAACACACCACCACAAAACTATTTCAGCACTACAACAACACCACCACAACACCACCACACCACGAGGGAGGAAGCAACCTATTTTAGCGGGTTGATGTTGAAGACAAATCTAATTACGCATAACAAAGTCCTGCCTTAATTCTCATTATAGGACTCCATTTACTCATTTGTGTTCTGAGCACAAGTTATCAAATTATTAAAAACTTTCCTCTTATCTTTATCCCCACCCCCAGCCTTCCTCTTCCCCTACCCCACACATACACCTCCAACCTTCCCCTACCCCCTTACCTGCCCCTCCACGCTCAACCTCTCTCCCCCCTACTCCCTATCCCCTCCTTACCCCAACCTTCCCTCTTCCCCCCCCTTACCCCTCCACACCCCAACCTTCACTCTTCCCTACCCCCTTACCCTCCACACCCCCAACCTCTCTCCCCCTCCCTATCCTTCCTTACTCCCTCCTCCCCTATTCTCCCTACCCCCAATCCCTCCTTCCCCTCCCTTCTTTCTCTAAACTCTCTCCATCCAATCATCCCCCTTCCCTCCTTTCCCCTCCCCCACCTTTCAAACTTCTCTTACCTACCCTCCTTCAACCTCCTCCCCTCCCCTCCCTCCCCCCTCCTCCCCTCACCAACACTCCCCTCCAGAAAAAATAATAAGCGGGTTTTTTTTTATTCAGTGATGTAGAAATCGAAGACTTGTCCATCCTCGAGTGACTAGGGTTAGGAGAGGCGTCATAGAGGAGTCGTGTCTGTCTGCCTGTCTGTCTGTCTGTCTGTCTGTCTCTCTGTCTGTCTCTCTGTCTGTCTGTCGTCTGTCTCTCTCTCTGTCTGTTTGTCTGCCTGTCTGTCTGTCTCGATGATGATTGTAAACTCACAACAGCTGACTGGCAGTAAACACAAAACAGCTGACTGGCAGTAAACACAAAACAGTTGACTGGCAGTAAACACAAAACAGCTGACTGACAGTAAAAGCTTCCTAAAACAGCCTGACTGGCAGTAAACACAAAACAACTGATGACAGTAGAAAACACAAAACAGTTGACTGACAGTAAACACACAAAACAGTTGACTGGCAGTAAACACAAAACAGCTGACTGGCAGTAAACACAAAACAGCTGACTGGCAGTAAACACAAAACAGCTGACTGACAGTAAACACAAAACAGCTGACTGGCAGTAAACACAAAACAGCTGACTGGCAGTAAACACAAAACAGCTGACTGGCAGTAAACACAAAACAGCTGACTGACAGTAAACACAAAACAGCTGACTGGCAGTAAACACAAAACAGCTGATTGACATTAAAGACGAGAAAAAAAAGATAAAATAATGAAAAAATCCAAGAAATCGACTAATATATTATACATTGGTACCTTGATCCACCTGACGTCTGAGAGAGATGTATTGGTACCTTTGTGATGGGGGCTTATACATTATCTCTGACTCCAATAGAAATGAACCATTGGGACATGAATCATTTTTTCGGTATATCAAGAAACGATAGTCAGCGATGAGAAATTGTAGCCGTGAGAGTTTGTCCTAAGATGTAGCCCCCAATACGTAGCCCCTAAACCGTAGTCCTGACAGATTGCCCAGAGTCGTAGCCCCAAAACATTACCCTGAAAAGTTGTCCCATATCGCAGGTAGCCCCAAGACACAGGTAGCCCCAGGACACAGGTAGCCCCAAGTCACAGGTAGCCTCAAGACACAGGTAGCCCCAAGAAATAGCCCTAATATAACAGGTATCCCCAAGAAATAGCCCTAATATAACAGGTAGCCCCAAGAAATAGCCCTAATATAACAGGTAGCCCCAAGAAATAGCCCTAATATAACAGGTAGCCCCAAGAAATAACCTCTGGTCACAGTTGAAGAGAAAATCCCACCAGATTTGAGAACCAGTAATACGTTTTCTATTAAGTTTGTTTTCTTTTTGCAAATTAAATAACAAGCAAGAAAAAAAATTAGGGTCAGGGAAGATGTACGCCTGTGTGTGTGTGTGTGTGTGTGCAAGGACTCTCTCTCTCTCTCTCTCAACCCCAACTTACACCCCCACAAAAAATACAATACGATAGTTTGAAATTAAATACTGTAGGTGGAAACTGTAACCCCGTGGCCCTGTAGTCATTCTTGTGTGAGTGTTGTTGGTCTGTAGTGCCTATGACAGGTGGGGGGAGCGGTGAGTCCAACCCACTTATGTTCTTCACGCGAGTCGCTGCTACGGTTTGGGTAGTGTTTAAAATGTGAGTGTTTAACGTAGGTGATGTTATGGGGGAAGAGGAAATGTTATATATTGTGGTAGTGTGTGTGTGTGTGTGTGTGTGTGTGTGTAGATGAACAGATTAATAATTAGGTAAACGAATAAACAACAAAAGAAAACAATAAACAAATCAATCATTACACACACACACACACACACACACACACACACACACACACACACACACACACACACACACACACACAGAACTAAACACCCAGATATGGAAATGAGTTTGATACCAACAGACGAATTCATTGACGAAAAATTTATTCTGATTGCATTAAATAAACGAAAAGTCGGAAGGTGAATATTACACGAGTCATTCACAACAGAGACACGACGCCATCACTGCTTTTAATTAAATCTATGTAATAAACAATGAAGGTGTAATAAGTTCATTGTGTAGGCGTTTGTGTTGTTGTTGTAACGCGATGACTACCTGTCAGGGGTGATTAGGAGGGCAGGTAAGATGAGGTGGGCGGAGGAGGAGGGTAAGGGTGGGGTGGGGTGGGTGAAGTCTCTCTCTCTCTCTCTTTGGTGAATTTGTTTCATACATACATACATACATACACGATAACAAGTTGACACGCACATACACACATGTAAGTGAAGACATACATACATACATACATACATTTTTCGTAAATGATAACAACAACAACAACAATAATTACTGCACATTACACCACTTCTAAAACACACGTCAAACACCCTAATAAAATACACTACAAACAATCTGAGAAAATAAAAACAAAGGAAACAGAAAAAAGCAAAACACACAAGGTACTCAACTATGTTTACCAACAAGGAAAAACACGAGGAAAATGGAAATAATAAGGACAAACGAATAAAAATGAAATTAAACAAGAATACAAATAAAAGAGAAAAACAAAGACAACAAAGGAAAAACGAAGAAAATGAGAGAAAACGAAAGTAAATAAGAATACAAACATAAAAAGCGAGAAAAAATGAGGAAAAACGAAGAAAATGAGAAAACGAGGAAAACGAGAAAAAAGAGAATAATGAGAAAAGAGCGAAAATGAATGATAAAAACTATAAAAACGAGAAAAACACTATTTATTTTCATCCTGGATTTTCTGTCTATCCAAATAGACAGTTATTATGTCCCTGATTGGTTAGCTCTGCTTGCCTCCACGTAGTCAGGATAAGTTATTTCTATCCCCAAAGACTGGGAAGGACAGACGACCTTAAGTCCCAAAGGTCTCTCATTGATCTGAGGGGGGGGAGGGGGAGGGGTAGGGGAGGACTGGTGGGGAGGGAGGGGAGGGAGAGGAAGGAGGGGAGGGGAGGATGGGAGGGGAGGGGAGGGGAGGGGGAGGAGGGGAGAAGGAGGGGAGTGATGGTGGGAGGGAGAGGAAGGAGGGGGAAAGTAGGGGAGGATGGGGAGGAGAGAAGGGGGAAGGGGAGGATGGGAGGAAGGAGGAGAGGGGAGGATGGTGGGAGGAGAGGAAGGAGGGGAAGTAGGGGGGGGAGGGGGAGGAAGGAGGGGGGAAAGGGGAGTAGGGAGAGGAAGGAGGGGAAGAGGGGAGGAGTAGGGGAGGGGAGAGGAAGGAGGGGGAAAGGGGAGGATGGTGGGAGGGGAGAGAGGAAGAGGGGGGAAGTAGGGGAGGATGGTGGGAGGGGAGAGGAAGGAGGGGGAAAGAGGGGAGGAGGGTGGGAGGGGAGAGGAAGGAGGGGGAAAGTAGGGGAGGATGAGGAGGGAGGGGAGAGGGAAGGAGGGGGGAAAGTAGGGGAGGAGGAGGGGAGAGGAAGGAGGGGGGGGAGGGGAGAGGAAGGAGGGGGGGGAAAGTAGGGAGGAGTGGGAGGGGAGAGGAAGGAGGGGAAGTAGGGGAGGATGGTGGGAGGGAGAGGAAGGGGAAAGTAGGGGAGGATGGGGAGGGGAGAGGAGGGGGGGGGAAAGTAGGGGAGAGGATGGTGGGAGGGGAGAGGAAGGAGGGGGGAAGTAGGGGAGGATGGTGGGTGGGGAGGAGGGGAGAGGAAGGAGGGGGAAAGTAGGGGAGGATGGTGGGGAGGGGAGAGGAAGG